GGTTAGGTTCGACAAAGCTCGTTTTCTCTTGTTAAAACCGTATGTTTATTGTTAGGTTAGGATGTGTTACTTTAGTTTAGACTGTATTGGGCTCGGTTAGTTAGGTTTTAAAATAAGTTGGCAAATGGTCTTGTGTATGACGAGAGTTGCATCATGCCATATACTCATTCGGGCGGGCTTCGGGCGGGAGTGTGGCAGGTGTGGGCTTCGGGCGGGAGTCTGGCAGGTGTGGGCTTCGGGCGGGAGTCTGGCAGGTGTGGGCTTCGGGCGGGAGTCTGGCAGGTGTGGGCTTCGGGCGGGAGTCTGGCAGGTGTGGGCTTCGGGCGGGAGTCTGGCAGGTGTGGGCTTCGGGCGGGAGTCTGGCAGGTGTGGGCTTCGGGCGGGAGTCTGGCAGGTGTGGGCTTCGGGCGGGAGTCTGGCAGGTGTGGGCTTCGGGCGGGAGTCTGGCAGGTGTGGGCTTCGGGCGGGAGTGTGGCAGGTAGAAGTGATTCCATGTTCTGTGGTTGACGCGCCACGCCAGGTTTCACCTTCCCGACGCCCACATTGAGGCAGCAGAAGGCAGCAGCCACTCCCCCCGAGTGTATTGGAAAGCCAACGAGATGTCTAAGAGATATAAATGGAGTCATTCTATCTCAGCCGTTGTAATGCGGAACGCAGGACCATTTGTGGAACCAAAAACTTGTCAAGTCTTCAGTAAGACTATGGACGATGAGACAGTTATACGTATATTCAGCTTGTCCTCCTGTTTTGGGAGTATTTATAGTAACGATGAGCACTATAGTATATATATATATATACTGACGTATACAACGAAATTAGAAAGTAGAAATCGGCACTATTGAGTTGGACAAACTGGGAATAACTATTTCCTTTGTTGCAAAGAGAAAATAAACTAACCTTCCTAGACTTAATATAAAATATCCGAGGCCTAATATAGTACATGTGTGTGCTATAGTAGGCCTAGGAATATTTAAATTGTTTAGCTTCATTTTTTCCGATTCTATAGAGTGATTAATACGAAGTGCCTTCGTAATCTAATTGCTCAGAACGGCAATCTTTGTACTATGGAGCACATAGTTACAAAAACTACTTTCTAACCAGGGAAATGAGTTGGTATATTTCAAGGATTTGAAACTCATTCTTGAACAAAGCCTATATCAGTAAGATAAGGAGGGTCCCTTAGTAGTCAGGCGCGTTCTTGACTCTCAATAGAGAATTCAGACTTCGAATTCCGGACGGCACAGAAATGGTTGGGTGCGTTTCCTATCACCTCATGCCCCTGTCCACCCAGCAGTAAATAGATACCCATGAGTCAGCTTGTTGCGGGGTTGCATCCTGGGGGGGTTGGGTGGGGGAGTTCAGACGCAGTCCCATCACTTAATTAACACGTCAGCCCCACACGTCACTACCGACAAGGTCTCCCACTATTGATATCCCTAATTATGCATTTCAATTTATTGGATGGACAGTTTGTAAGTAGCAACGTCAACCAATACACGCTTCATGAGTAATGCTGAAATGCTAGGCAAGAAGGCTTCGTATCAAGCACGTTATCCATTCTCGACTTTTATCAGTCTTGTTCATACTATGGCGAGTTTCGCTTCCTGGTCCTATCAATTAACTGGTAACTTTCATGGCAATCCGTCCACCGGGTGCTTACCCTCACCCGCCAGTCTATTCCCTCCATGAAGATCAGAAAGACTGAGAACTGTCGCACTGATTTTCAAATTAAAATTTTTATTTTGAATGTTTGTATATTTATAATTGTTTGCACAGAATTACAAAATCTTACTGAAGCGACCATACTTGTCATAAATACCAATACTCCTCCCAAGTAAAACAGGAACAAGTAACACTTAGTGGGCCAGCCAGAGGCTTAGGGCCCCCGCGGGAATATCCCTGCAAGCAAAAAAAAATAAGTTCCTACAACACAGGGATACGGGTTCATATGGGAAGGAAACGTTACTATAAACAATCATTGTTATTTTATTGATACTTAAACCTGCAACAAGGCACTAGGATACTCTTACCCTCGGAATTATGGCCACTTTCGCCATAAGATCATGATAGAAATATTAGCACCACTTTATATATAAAAGTTACTATTCTCTCCTGTTTAGTGTTATTCCCTAATAGATTTCACTCTTAACTTATTACGCGTCTAGAGGATGCTGTATTTTCTGATACTGGACGATGTATTAAAATACCAACTAGGTTGCAACATGCAGTTGTTTATGAGCTATTCATACCCGTGCCACCTCTTGGGTGGGTTAATCCATCAATTAATCAATGCAGGAGGTCTAGCTAGCATCATGGCGACAGTAAGACACTGGCCTCTCCAGAAACGTGTTATCAGCAGAGTTTCACTAGCTGGCTCCTTCTAGACTCGGTCCCATTTACTCACTCGCTGTCTGCCGATTCATCCATGTTCAAGGAATATGTCCCAGTTGCTGGCGTTTCCAAGGATGCTGCCATGAATGGCCTCACACGACGAAGCCTGGCCTGTGCACGTCTCTCCCTCGTACACCACCTGAAACACCTCGTCCGGGGACCACACGGTAATAATTTGGTGGTTCCTGCTATTGAATGGAGGTTTTCCAGCAGCAACACACAATCACAATAGGGTGATGCATGAAATGAATAAATCAACAAGGGCCGTGATGAGGGGTTCGATCCTACGTCCGCGAGGATCCCAGACGCGCCTTAATAGACTGCCACGACATGGTCAAAATTGACAGGCCCGGGTGGGTGCATGGGGGGAATTGTGTAAAATCCTGGTTTGTGTCTCGGAGAGACTGCAGGATCCGCGTGAGGGCAGTTGCATTCCCGGTTTCAAATCTTTTGACCACGTCGTGGCACAGTCGAATAAGGCGCGTCTGGGATCCTCTCTGACGTAGGTTCGAGACCTTCATCACGGCCCTTGTGTTTTTGTTAATTTTCCAGTAGAACGTTCTGGCAGGTTTTGCATGATAACTCAAAACCTCCAAACGCCTCATACGCCGGGTGGAACACCTGTTATAGATGCGTGTAGCGTCTCTCGGTGTGGAAATAACTTCTACCAGCCTGGGGGGGGGGGGGGGTAGCACCTCTCAGCCTGAATGGCGAGAGCATTCTCTCCCGATAACGAAAATCGCTACGCCATAAATCGCGGCACCTCGTGTGTGAGCGCAGTGAAGAATGGTCTATCGGACAGTCACAAGATGGATTGGCAGCCATTGTTGTGTACAGTGCAGGGTGGGGTCACGCCCGCCTGCACACTCCACCCACCCGCCCACGCCTACCACCGCCCCACGTCATTCCCGCACGCTCTGGGTTTACGGGCTATTCATGCCCGTGCCACCTCTTGGATGGCTTAATCTTTTATCAATCGCCGCACGCTCCCCCACACTCCACGGGAGACATCTCCCGTCACGCAGGGTGCAGTCACACCTCCACAGATCTCCAGTATCATCTATTGATACTGGTAATGGCTCCAAAGGGCCACCACTTATGGGCTATTCATGACCGTGCCACCTTTTGGGTGGCTTAATCATCACTCAATCAATCAATCCCACACTCTCATATGGCCTCCCGCGCACGTAAATATATCTGCGTGTCCTCGTTCGTTCATAGGGGTCCCGTCTGCACCCTTTCTTGCAGCCTGATGGCCCCGTAACCCACACCTCACCTTCTCACAGGCTGATACTGTTATCCTCATGCTGGGCCAGTTAGGTCAGTTACAGCACCGCTCCTGTGCCAGGTAAGTTCACTACGGGCTCACCATAGCCCGTGCTACTTGGCACTTTTGGTTCTCAGTAACTGAATCTATAACAACAGCCAGTTAGGTCAGGAACTCAAGGTGTTTTGATTAAGTTTCTCGAACCATCTTTTATATCTTGCCTTTGTTTATTTACAGTTTAAAGTTATAAATACTCATCGGATATTATATTACTTTCACGATAAACACAGCATCAAAATGTCAATAAATCCGCCCTCCACTATGACGAATATTTGAACGTGTCCTTAAATAGTGCCTAAAGAATGACCAGCGGATGAGAAACGCAATTAAAGTAATTAGTTTAAGTATTAATTAGTTTTAGTCATTAACCCAAGTAATTGGTTAATTCATGTAATTATATCAGCACATGAGGGTGGTGTTCCAGTGAGGGGAGAGGTCGGCCGCCGCCACCACCACCCTCACCAGACTTATGTAAATATTGAAATAAAAAATCGTATTTTAGTTTAACCGTTACATTTAACAATATAGTTGCAATCTCTATCAATCAAGATGCTAACGATATAATTCGATATAATATATAACGATTCTGCCCGAAACGCTGCGCGTACTAGTGGCTTTACAAGATTGTAAATACTGTACTATGCTATGTATTCTCACAAACCCAATGTACCTTCTTGTATATAAGTAAATAAATAATGAAAACAAAGATTGGAATTGTCTATGCACTAGACCGCTTCAATATTTGTCACGGTTAGAATGTACAGTGCTGCAGTATATATATATGTATATATATATATAAGCATTTGTGCGTAGCCTAGCAATTGGGTCCCTTGAGCCAAGTTGAGGCTTTGAGAAAATCTATACGATATATTGCCTAGTATTGCGTTGAATACGGCCAGGGGGTGTGATTGGTTGTTGCTAGGCTTTGATTGGTTGGTTCCAGAGGCTGATTGGTCGCTACCAGGGTTTTCTGCTGCTAATCAGAACTTTATACAAAAATCAATGTTCTAGGAAATTACCGTTTACTGTGTTGTATTCTTGCAAGTTGTGCAAGACGTTTAATTATAAATGCTTCAAAAATTATTTTAATAGATATAATTATAAATCCCTTAGAAAGTATATTAATCGACACTAATTATACATCTATCACAAATAAATGTAATTAACTATGCCATTAAACGACACCATTTAAGTTCCTCCAAGAGTGAATCAACTGTTTGGTGTATTAAATATCTAGTCATTGTTATATTGTCATTGTTCTAATTGTTATTTTGTTCAACAGAACTTCACAGTGGTGCCTTACCCTAAGGAGAAGTATGGCCAGTTCTACCAGGGTGACTCCTACATCGTCCTCTATGTGAGTATACTCACCAACGTCTTGGTTGTGTATGAGAGTATACTCCCCCAACGCCTTTGTTGTGTGTATCTCTTCTCTTTCCCTTCATTATATCTCCAGTGCTTTGCTGGTCTACCCCCCATACAACTGTTTCCATCCCTGCCACTACCACACCTACACTACATCTACCCCCCCATCCTACACCTGCCTCCATAACCGTTACTACCCCCCTACACCAGGCCCCCCTGCCCCCTCACTCGTATGAGCAACACAGCTCTGGAGTTACATAGGTCTACTCCAATCTATGAACTCGGTAACTTTTATCATCTCGCGAACGCGGGAAACCATCCATCGCCATTCATCTTCTCTGATGCTGTGTTTGATCTTCGTTCCATTCACTACTGTTGAGACTGCTCAAGCTTCATCGCCCTCCTTGCCCTTGAGATGCGACTTGTGTAACTGTTTAAGCTTGTGTGTTACTAGGGAGTCGTCCTAGACCCCCGCACCACTGGGGGAGGGAGTCGTCCTAGACCCCCGCACCACTGGGGGAGGGAGTCGTCCTAGACCCCCGCACCACTGGGGGAGGGAGTCGTCCTAGACCCCCGCACCACTGGGGGAGGGAGTCGTCCTAGACCCCCGCACCACTGGGGGAGGGAGTCGTCCTAGACCCCCGCACCACTGGGGGAGGGAGTCGTCCTAGACCCCCGCACCACTGGGGGAGGGAGTCGTCCTAGACCCCCGCACCACTGGGGGAGGGAGTCGTCCTAGACCCCCCCACCACTGGGGGAGGGAGTCGTCCTAGACCCCCGCACCACTGGGGGAGGGAGTCGTCCTAGACCCCCGCACCACTGGGGGAGGGAGTCTTCCTAGACCCCCCCACCACTGGGGGAGGGAGTCGTCCTAGACCCCCCCACCACTGGGGGAGGGAGTCGTCCTAGACCCCCCCACCACTGGGGGAGGGAGTCGTCCTAGACCCCCCCCCACCACTGGGGGAGGGAGTCGTCCTAGACCCCCCCCCCCACCACTGGGGGAGGGAGTCGTCCTAGACCCCCCACCACTGGGGGAGGGAGTCGTTCTAGACCCGCACCACTGGGGGAGGGAGCAGTCCTAGACCCCCACCACTGGGGGAGGGAGCAGTCCTAGACCCCCACCACTGGGGGGAGGGAGCAGTCCAAGACCCCCCACCACTGGGGGGGGGAGCAGTCCTAGACCCCCCACCACTGGGGGAGGAGCAGTCCTAGACCCCCCCACCACTGGGGGAGGGAGTCGTCCTAGACCCCCCACCACTGGGGGGGGAGCAGTCCTAGACACCCCCCCCCCCCACCACTAAGGGGGGGAGCAGTCCTAGACACCCCCCCCCCCCCCACCACCACTAAGGGGGGGAGCAGTCCTAGAGGTGGGGGAAGGAGCAGACTTGACCCAAAAACTAGAAAGATAAGGAAAGCAATCCTGGACCCCCCACTATATCTAGGGTTATACAGGAGCCTGGACCCCCTCTCTCTCTTTTTTTTAAATTCCTATATAAAAAGTGTGTGCACACATTCTGTCCCAGACAAAATGAAGTACATTACAGAAAATAAGCTTTTATATTCTCCTATAATTACTTTTGATTACCAAAATTTACTTTCTTCAGACAAATGATATCAACGGGAACCTGAGCTGGGACCTGCACTTCTGGCTGGGCTCGGAGTCATCACAGGTAAGTTGTCAAGTGACTGTTGTGCGCACCTTTATCATGTGTACTCCTTACCACAGGCATATAAACCAAATTGGTTGTTTTTAAGCTTAGTACAGTATATATATATGAATTATATTCTTTTAATCCAAACCTGAAAGATATTGGTGTACAGTACTATATTGGTACAGTAGTACTTTAATTTACAACTGGGATCTATCAGTTGTGATGGGTGATATTTTTAGTTGATCTTCCCATCTCACCTTAAGTACAGCAGTGGGTCAATAACTTAAATTTTGCAGTACAGTACAAGCATTATTTCAAATTTGTGCATAATACAATTTTTGGTCTTGGAATGCATCTTCTGTGCCCATTTCATCCTTGACCCCAATATTAATGGATGCATCCACTAGAACTAAACATTGACAGTAATTAATCTTGATACAGTATTCTGCAAGCACAGCAGATAATAGCATTAATATTTCTTCATAAATATTCCACAACACCCATTTGCTTGTTTTAATTTAATGAGCTACATTACAGTAATGTGAGCAATATGGTCAAACCATCTTTTATAATGTGATGAAAATACTGCTATTAATGATATGCTATTAATAATAATGACGGTATCTGTTCACCGTTTGCCTACACCTTAAAAGTACAAATAATAGATTCATAATCTCACCCTGTAAGTTTTATGTATAATATGCCTCTCTTCACATAGCAGTAAATAAGGACTTGAGAGTTAAATGTGTGTTGTGGGTTGCATTCGGTCGAAGGTCATTCATTAGTCTAGGGGGGAACCTGCAATAAACCTGTTGGCTTCCTGTCCCCATCAATGTGAAGCCAGCATATAGTACCCATAATATATATGAAGAGGAAAAAATCATCTAGATATATATGCCTCTTGGCATATATTTGATTTTGATGTGTAAATATAATCTCAGGATGAAGCAGGTGCGGCAGCCATCAAGACAGTGGAGCTGGATGAACAGCTGGGTGGAGTACCTGTTCAACACAGAGAGGTGGAGGGCCACGAGTCCTCCCTCTTCCTATCCAGGTTAGTAGTTTTGACATGTTCAGTACTAGACTTGGATTTATTTCAAGAGGGGCTTCAGTAAATTTTTGCTTGGCATTTTATTACATCATTGTTGTGCTAGCTGCATATTTAGTTTGATAAAAATATATATATATATACAGTACTGTAGTGGAGTTTACTCTACTTATTGTACCTTGACATGGTCTAATGCATATAGCCACAGGTCAAAAATTCTCACATAGAACATTGAATTTGTTTTAAATGTTTTTAATTTTTCAAATTCTTAAGTATCTTGTTATACTAATACCACATTAGCTCCATTTTCCTCATTAAACATCTTAAGCTGATAAGAGCAATGGGCCATAAGAAATTACAGTACAAAAAGCTACCTTTTTACAGAGGATTTCTTTGGTTCTAGACCATTACAGTAATACTGATTTTCCTTGTAAAGGTTCAAGAAAGGTGTGAGATACCTGAAGGGAGGTGTTGCCTCTGGATTTCATCATGTGGATCCTGATGAACCTTACCCTGCTCGCCTCTTCCACGTCAAGGGACGCAGGAATGTCCGCATCAAACAGGTTGTTATTAATACGTTTGATTTAAATGCATTATGGTAATTAAGTATACCAAATGTCTTGAAAAAGTGTTCATAAGGCTTAGCATAAAAAAAATGGTTCAAGTTTTGTTGTCATATACTTTGGTCACTCTCATAAAATAATCCTTTTGTAGAGTTCATACAAGCAAGAAATTTATATACATTTTTAAAGAATTTGAAGGCAGCATTTCACTGTTGTATTATCAACCAATAGGCTTAACACAGAAATGTGAGATACAGTAATGTACACTGGTTGTATTTACCCTGAAATGTGGCCTGTAAGACCAAGTTATTACAGCTGAAACAGTTAGGTCATTGCTGCTGTGGTATTCACTTCTGGTAAAAAAATACAAAATAAAGCTAAACATAATTTGTTACTAAGATTGTACTTTCATTGTTCAATATCGCCTTCAGGTATTTGAAATATTAGAATATAAAATTACTAACAATTGTGCTCAACTGCAAAAGTAAATAAGCCATGAATCTGAATTGTTATGTTGAAGTAACTCGGATGAAATTCATAGAGATGATTTGTATTATTATTTCAGTGGTGTACATACCATGCTGCCCCAGTATTCAGGCATTGTGGATTTTATTGTAGGTTGAAGCAAATGTAGCATCCATGAACAAAGGCGATTGCTTCATCCTGGACTGTCGTACGACTGTGTATGCGTACATGGGGCCCAGCAGCAGGAGAATGGAGCGACTTAAGGCCATCCAGGCTGCAAATGCTGTGCGGGATGATGATCATGCTGGCAAATCTAAAGTTATTGTTATTGGTGAGTAAGTGAAGTATGTTACATTTGATTTGTTAAAGAGTTTGGGCTTTGGTATTTCTTGTGCTGCAGAAGGCATTCAGTTACTTAGCATTCGGTAATGTTTTGCATTATAAATTTACTGAACTATTCTGTTTACAATAGCAGTGTTTACTGCTTGATGAATGGATGTTGTGCACGAAGTCACTGTATACTCGTACACTAATACAGTTTAGTGTTGATCTTTTATATAAACATTTACTGTGTAATGTATGAATCATGATTTATTAGTACTGTATATTTCTGATTTTTTAAAACTATATATATTATTTCTTTACTATTCTAAATAAAACATAGTAAATTTTGTTCATAACTTCTCCTAAATGAAAGGTTTAAATTCCTTTTTTCTCATATAAATTTAATCTTTCTTGTAGAGTTTGTCAATATATGGTTGCCGCCTTTAAACATTATTTTAATCACAAAAATGTTTCCTGTACTTGTCAAATAACCACACACATAACCAAATAACTTGATCAGGCATAGTGTAGCTTATTGCATGGGAATCCTTGAGTCACGTGTAAGACCCCTTGAGAGATAAATTTCTTGAAGCCCAAGTGCTTCAAGAAATATCAGCATCTATAGCCCCCTGTGAGAGACAGAGATGGGGAGGGGGGGGATGTTCAAGTATAGGGAAAAAGAGGGGCAAGATAGGGGAGAGGAGAGGGAGATAGAGGGGAAGATTTAGAAGAGCAGAGAGGGGAACTGAAGGGAAAAAAGAGGTGGGGAGGTGGAGGGAGACCTAGGTACCCCATCTAGTACAGTATAAGTATACTGTATATAATTTATGATTTTGCTTTGCATGTCCATAGATGAAACGGCATCAGGTCGTGAGATTGAAGAGTTCTTTGCTGGTCTGGGTGGAGGCTCTCCTGATGATGTTGCTGATGAAGACACTGGTGTTGATGATGCTGAATTTGAACGTTCTGAAGTGGTAAGTGTTCGCTTAAATTATGCTGCCACGTGTTTTATAAATTAAAAACTTTGTTTTTTAATTGATTATTAAAAATCATGGGTAAAAACGTAAAAGAAACAAGTACTACAGTGAATAAATAAAGAAAAGAGAAGGAGAAACTATTAGAGCTGCACTTGAAGGGTTTGGAAGGAAATACTGACAAAGAAAGAAGATTCAGTAATTATATTTACAGAATTTACATGAGGGCCACAAGCTCTAGTGAGCTCGACAGAGAAAGAAAGCCACTGGCTTGTTAAAAGTAAACCCCATAATATTTCATGTGGATTTTTTCAGTTTAATATTGAACTGGAGTACCGTCCTAGCTTTGGTGTGCAGGCGATTCATTACCTTATAGGTGACACACTCCCATGTTATGTCCCTTGTGAGTTGCAAGTGAAAGACCTTTTTTAAAGTTGGGCTGGATTAATACTTTCGCTCACCCCGCGCGCCACCCCTCGACAGGGCGATATGGGCCCCAGCGTGTCACGGAAGCGCGCGTTAATTTCGAAAAGTGTATACTCTCTTCAACTTTGTCACCTCAATTCTCCTTCTACGAGATTAAATTTGGTATCATTGTGTTCGCAATAAAATTCTCTACAACACTAAATGCATATAAACTCCAAAAGCCCAGCTAATTACCCGCAGCAAACAGAGAAAGTGCGAACGAGTTACCCGGGAGCGCGCAAACGTGATAAAATGTTTTCACTATTTTCACTCTGGTCACCTCAATTTTTGTCCTAGGTCTTTCAATTTGGTCTCAATGGGTTCGTAATAAAATTCTCTAGAGGAACATTAGCATATAAAAAGAAAAACCTGGTCACGCTCCAACCGCCGACGAGTTGAAGACGGGCCACGCGTTAGCCGTGAGTGAGTGCTCAGAGGCCTTCCTGCTACACTCCCAATTCCCACCCTTTTCAAGCCTTTCTTTCGCAATTTTCCTCCTGGAAGGGCCTTGTTCATGATTACTATCCATCGTGGAGTAAGCGTAGATAGTTTCTAAAGCCGCAGTAAGAAATATAGCCACGGGAAATAGCCGAAATGTTCACACGTTTGAGATGCGAGGGGAGGCGACATTGGTCACAACAGTGGAGCAAAGACAATGGGCCCACGGCATGTGCCAAGCCGCCTGAGGGCCACGAGGCTCAACAAAGAAAATGGGAAGACATCGGCGCACATTTTAAAACCAGTCCCAAAAAAATCGGATAAAAACCTGATTTTTGGCGAATTTTTAAAGTGGATGACGCAATGCTGCGTCATCCCCGGCATTACCGCCAGTAAACAGATGACGCAATGCTGCGTCATCCCCGAGCGAAAGTGTCAATATCTTTCAGTTTCTTCATTTTTTTTTATTTTTTTTTGGTGGGGGGGGGGTTTGGCTTTCAATGAGCCCGTTGTGTCTAGTTTGTTATGCAAGTCCTGGAGCCTTCAACTGTTCGTGGTACTGTATGAGTCATCCTAGTCCTTGGATAATTTTTGTCACTATACAATACAACCTCGAGTCAAGAAACTATACAGGCCCAACTCCAATTCGTTACAATATTCATGGACACTTGTATTCGTGGATTATGAATTTGTATTATCCTTTACATGATAAAGATAACTGATGATGATAAACTTGTTAAATTACCATTACTGTTTGTAAATTATCCTTTTCAGATAAAACCTTAAGAAAATTCAATGATATTTCTGAAAATGACATGCAGTAAAAATGATCAAGCTCTTCATTTTAGTGCTAATAATAATTAGATAACTAAATGCTTTGAATAAGACATTTATGAGCAGAAACTGATAAAGCTTCATGTAGTGTAACATCAAATATCGCAATGCTAATTGTGACTATCAGATGTGCATGTATAGAGCTGTGTCTTTCTTCACAGTTGGTGGCAGAGTTTGGTAATGGTTTTCTTGTCGTTTTTATTCGGCATAAATGACAAATTTAAATTGGCATTTTGAGCGCCGCTGTAGATTTGGGAGATACATCTTTCTAATGCTTAAGTGAAGATACTTTATGCTCTTCATGCATTCAGGCTTCAACAAACACTTAATGCATGATTTGGTGAGCAGAATGTGGTGTCACTGCATTACACACTTAAAGATCTTGTATGTATTTGTGGAAGCCATCTTATACATATGTATACGAGGGCATTCTTGGCTAATTATTTTTTATGATAGAAATTTTGAATTAGATGAAGTGTTGATTAACACCCAATTTTGCCCACAGAGTGTAGTGACACTGCACCACATATTTGAAGATGGTGATGGTGTGATCCAGACACGTATGATTGGTGAGAAACCACTTGAACAGTCCATGCTGAACTCTGGTGTAAGTTGAATTAATTTATCCTTGAACGATATAATCTTATAATACCACAAAAATCATGATAATTATAAGACTTTTTAGGTTATTTTTCATTTATGATAGTTAAAATGAAGATATATTTTCTGTGGAATAAAAAGGATGTAGTATGCGTCCTGCCAGTGTTCAGTGGTTGACGTTAAGCATGTGTGAACATCCTGGCAAACAGTAGAATGATGATAATAACGAGTCTTTAGGGGTGTAAGCCATACTAAGTAGAGATTAAGCTTTGCTTTCATATATTATTAGTTTTTGCTTTCATTTCATTTTGGTTTATGAAATATATTTTAAGAGTAAATGATGACATTTGCTTCCTCGCTACAATCAAAAGGTTACCACAACGGTTTAAAGTTCTGTAATGAAAATTTATGAAATCGGTCACACTTTTTTTTTCAGATAAATGGTAATATAAAAGAAAAGTCACTAGAATCTTAAAAAAAAAAAAAAATATATATATATATATGCAAGAGATGATAAACATAATGAGTTATGGCTTGACTTAGAATATTTTTTATAACTGAAGTGTGTACAGTGATATTACTTTCCAGCACTCGGTCCTCTGCTTTTACTCCAATGTTCTCGGGCAGTTTTAACATGTTTTCCCACCCGACACCACAATCACATTTTCTCTGCTAGATAAAGCTTATGTGCCTCACCTCAGGACTGGTTAATATACCATCTTTAAGGAATGACGTGAAGACATTTACTGAAACTTTTAAAACTAGATATAATAATGGATTCTGCGAGTACAGTACAGTACCTATATTTGAAGTGTGTTTATATATTATGTTTATATAAGTAAAGTTGTTCACCTTACTATTCATCTTAAGAACTTGAGTTAAGAGGTTCCATGAACACATCTAAAAACAGGCTTGTTAAGACAGTAATGTGACTAAGCTTCTGTTAACTTCTCTTGGAAATACCATTCCTCACACTGCTGCCACCCTCCCTCATACCACCTTTTATATAATAATTTGTATTCAAAAGAACATAAGAGTAATGTATAATTGTAGGGACAGTAGTTACACACACTATTGAAGCCACTATTATGTAAACTGTTTATAATGGTCCTCCCCCCATGCCGCCCTCCCCCCATGCCGCCTTTCACCACACATCCATCCCTCACACTACTTTGCTTCAGCTGATTTTTGCTGGATTACTTATTTCTGAATTGTATTGGCAGTAATAATTTAAAAAAAAATAGGCCAAATTTGTAGTGGCTGTTAAGTGCAGAGCAAAGACTCGGTACTAAATTTTGAGAAAATTTTAAATTATAATTAAAGACTATACATGAAAGTACAACGTTTTAATCCAGTGGAACTCTGATACTATCACAGTATTGGGACCGGACCCCTTCCGACGTATCGAGGTTTTCAGACGATCAAATTTGGTGCAGTTTGTCAACATATTTTGGATGGCTTTAATTCCCATTATCAAGTGTAGAAGGATTGTACTTAGATAATGGTCCCCAAAAGTTTTACTAAAAATTTTAAAACTCGTGTTCACACTCGTATAATATCTTGACAATGCTGTCAAAACATTCTGTACATTTTGCAGAGTCTGTCATGATAATCTTGTTTCTGGATTAATGTATCAAGGTTTTCTGATGGGATGTTCTTTCCAGCCTGTCAGTTCTACTTGTAGCATAGCCCTCTCTTGCTTTCATAACAAAACCTCAATAACTCTTTTAGGTCAATAATAGAATCTGTTTAAAGTAAAAATAGGCAAAAAGAAAATATCATTCATTTTGAAATACAGAAGTTTAGGTTATATTCTGCATGTACAGGTATTTGAAATAAATGATAATTTCATCGGGTTTGGCAAATTGGCCAAAACATTAATAGGAACAATTTAGTTATGTATTTATTTATTTATTTATTTATTTATGCATATACAAGAATGTACATAAGGAATGTGAAGATACAAATATGGTAATTACAGTCTTGTAAAGCCACTAGCACGCGCAGCGTTTCGGGCAGGTCCTTAATCTAAGAAAATTTTAAGGAGGTAAATACTTGCAAAATTTATAGACAAAAAATGATAACAGATTACATGGAATGAAAAAAAGATGAGAGAAAATTATAGGTACAGTATATTAAAGCACATAGGTAGCTATGATTGATTGCAATGACAGCTTAAAATGGTAGTTGACAACAAATTGGTAGGCACAATACAGCAGAAACAATATAAGATTGATTGCAATGACAGCTTGAATGGTAGTTGACAAAAAATTGGTAGTCACAATACAGCATATGGCTAGCACATAAAAGAAGACAGCAATGAACACAATGATAAGGTTGTTTGATATTACATAAAAATTAGGAGATTGGGTAACACTAGGTACAGAGCAAATTTAAAGCTCAGTGTAGGAAACTAAATAGATGAAGTTAGGTACTTTTTGGTTTTGCTTTTAAATAAGGCAAAAGTTTTACAGTTTTTCAATTCACTAGGGAGTGAGTTCCATAGACTAGGTCCCTTAATTTGCATAGAGTGTTTACACAGATTAAGTTTGACCCTGGGGATATCAAAGAGATATTTATTTCTGGTGTGGTGATAATGGGTCCTATTACATCTGT